GACATGTATATTATATAAAAACACGTGCGTAATCGAATTGTGTGAAAATTTCAAAGGAATTGGTAGGAACAAACGAACATTACATTTTTATTTATATAGATAGATAGAAGATGATCTGCTTTAGTTCATCCTCACAGAAAAGCAAACTTAGGGCGTCATACTCGTAGCGCCATCTGTTGGACATAAAAGCCTTAACCCTAGATGATATCTTTTAATTTATATGAATGTTTAACAAAAAAATCTGCAGGTTTGGTTAGTGGTAAACATTCCGGGGGTTATAAAGATGCTACAGTTAAAATGGTAACGATTGGTTCAGTAGTGGTCACAAACGAAAAATACGTTGTCTCTTTATATAGTAGTATAGATATAGATATAGATATAGATTATATATATACACATATATATATAATGAGTAAAACTACATGAATTAATAAGCGATTAATAATGTATTTTCCTTCTATTTTGTAATTTTTTAATTAACTTGATCTAATTTATGCTAAGATTTTAGTGAAATTTATGTTATATAATCTGTAGCTGCGATTCATTTAGATTTCAATTAATTTACGTCTTTATTTTTCTATAATGTATTATGTTTTATCCTAACAGACTAATTTTAAATTAAGTATTTCTCTTATAATTTATAGTGTAGAATCTTAATACTATTTTACTCTTCCCAACTTTTGGGAACCAAGAGAACGTTTTTTCAAGTAGTCGTGGGTTTGGCCAGGCTTGCAATGAGAGCGTCAGGAAGTGAGGATCAGAGCCCGAAATATCCCGAAAAAGATTTTATAGTAGCTTTCCTGGATTCCATCTCGTGCCTGCGATGCGGTTATAGTCTAGAATCTTTTTTCTTATTTTTTGGAAATAATATCAACCATTGGATAGATGTAAAAATAAAATTTAGTTACAATAATAAGTTAAAAAAACATTTAAAAAGTTGCAATTTTTACTTTCCGTCTCTGTTATATATAACACAGGGAAAATGTGGCAATCGGACAGATAATTTTTTTTTTACATTTTTGGACTCGAGGGACTTTGAAATATAGAGAAATGCAAAAAACTTCGGGGTTATTTCTGTATGTATGAATGTTAGTCTGTGTGTGGGGAACGCGATTTTTTCATTCTTTTTGAAGCTTAATAACTGTTGTGCTTTTTTGTCGAAATTTTTTGAAATCTTGCAGGAAGGTTCGTGTATTAGGTGGATTGATGATTTTAAATTTTAGTAATTAAAGCTCGACAGAATGTGGAGATAAAGGGGGACGAGTAGAGTCGGGCTTAATAACGATTTTACTCGTTATTAGCATTTACAATTTTTTTTATAAAACTCATCCCTACCCTCAAAATTAAGTTCCTTGTTATTTTAGAAGAATTAAAAATATAAA